GGGCTGGGGAAAGCTGCAGCGGACCCCGCCGGGCGGGCCGCGCCCCGCGCCCTCCCTTCCCGCGCCCCCGGCCGCAGCAAAGACGCCACGGCGGACCTGAGCGCCTGCCTGTCCCCTTTTCTACCCACGCAAGCTCCGCCCGACCGATCCTCCTCCTGAAAGCCCTTCTGCAACTTCCAAGTGTAAATCACCTGCCCTCCAGTCATCCGCACAGCCACCGCCCTTCACAGGGCCGAGCTGGAAGGTTTTCCTTCCCACTGCGGGACTGTGGACAGTCGAGGGAAGGCCGAGCTGTCCAGGCCCCCAGCGTCACGCCAAGTGTAAACTGAATAGCGGGCGATGTAAGGGAATGGCCGCTTGCGAACAGATCCCGGATGGCTGAACTCAAGGAAGAAACCTCAACTACCACCCCTCCCCTCATCTCGCTCCCCACCCCGGAAAAGCGCGAGGGCCTAGGCGGCTAGAGGCAGGGACAGCCACCGGCTCGCAAAAGTAGAGAAATCAACTTGGCCCTGCCGGGAGAGAGGAGGGGAGAGGCATTCCCTTAGACAGCCTCAGCTGCGGCCTCCCTTACTCATCCTTGCAGGACTGGAATTAAAAACCGCATCTAAATGTTGCGGAGTCCATCCATATAGAAACTTGGCCTGGGAAAAGGAGGCATAATCGTCTAGGATTCGTGTCGTTTAGTTAAGCCAATATTTGATGTACTTTTCACAAGCGTTTTCTCATTTTAACACGAGGATCCTCCAAAGTACTGTTGCTTTAGTATTTCTCTGCTTTTTAGGTGAGGCAACTGAAGCCGAGTTATAGGGCGAGCTCAGTTTGGGAGCAGTTCCCGAGTCCCTTTTGATTTGAAGCAGCTCTTTGGAGACTCCAAATTGCTGTCAGCAGATGAAGATCCACAGCGGTGGAGCACTGCTCTGCCATAAAGGATAAACTTGACCAATCTGTAGGAAAATGGATGCATCCTGAGACCATGAGAAGTGGAATATCAGACGAGTGAGCTTAAACGTCACATGGTTCCTCTTCTATGAGAAACTCCAAACAGAAATAACAAAATAAGAAGCTAGAAAAGAGGAGATCTTTTGCAAAAGGGAAGGACACTTGGAGTGGAGGGGATGTAAAAAGATTTGTTATGTGTACTAACTCCCCAGGAGGAATGTGATCATTATGCACTGCAAACATGTACGAGCGTAAATATTAAAACTGGAGAAGAGAAAAAAATTAATCTAGAGGCCAGTTTTCTCCACAGCTTGGGAGGGCCTGGTTTTTCTGCCTCACACTGTCCAGGAAATAAAGAGTTATAAAATTATTTACAAACTTAATTTCCCCCCATATTTTTAAAAATTAGAGCTAAGTGTATGACACTGTCAGACTGGCAAAAATTACCTTGCAGGACAGGCCGCCAGGGGCTTGCCTTTCGGAGCGATGCCCTGCTCCATGAAAGGGAGCAAGCGGAGCTGAGGACGGTCCGTCACTCCACACTTCTTTTGTGCTCTTGCACCCACCCACAAGATGAATGTTTTGTGTGCTGCCATTTAATGTTTTTTAATTTCTGAGTTATATTCATGAAAATGTCATTATAATAAAAACAGCTTGGAAGGAACAGTAATGCGACTTACTTCTAAAACCTTCCCTAAAATTTTTGTCCTATTGTCAATTAACCTCAAATTCATATTTGGGGAAGTACTTTTCTAGAACAAGGACATTTTAAAAACACCGCTTGATGTTATCTTTAGATTGATGATCTGTGCATTTGGATGCAAGCTCGTATCAAACTGAGTTTTTCTGCAATTAATAAAATATTTTTAAAAATTTTAAGAACATTTCAGGACTCATGCAGCAAAGAAAGTAAAGCTCTTCTCTCTCCAATTATGTTATATTCCACTTCCTTAAAAGTCTTCTACTGCACTGCAACCTGGGATCAAGGGGCCCTCATGAGCCAGTGAGGGTCCGGCCAGGTACCAGTAAAGAATCAGTGCAAGCCTCCTGCATGCACCTTATCGTCAGTGCGTTAAATGTGCTGCGTTTCAGGTTTTCTGTGCAAGCTTCCCTTCTTTCAGCATTTTCTTTCATCTTAAGTCACCTGCTTTGTAGCTATTCACCTTGTAGACAAGCGACTTTGAGGACATGAGGAGGAACACAAGACAGAGCATAGATGGGTTTGGCTTGGCATTTTCGCAGTTAAGGGTCTGCATTGCGCTAATCTGAAACACCACCACCCCCTAGTGACCCAAAGGCAAAATAACATGCAGTACACTTCCAAGATGAGAATTCAAAGGGACTGTGGTATGCTTTCCTTAGAGAACCTGATTTCTTTCCTAGACCTACCCACCAGCCTCTGTTTTCTTTCAAATGCACAAACCTGCATCTCTAATCATTAAATTAGTGGAGGATTAAATGGAAAAACCTCATGTTCAAGTGTTTTTAACTTTTAAAGCATATATTCACCTACTGTTTTAATTTCTTCCAGTCATATTTTAATTCGTAAATTGTTTAACTGTACCCCTCTGGTATAGTTTTATATTTACAACACATCTCAGTATTTAGCTAGTGTGGATTAATTTTGATTTCTATTGAACTTCCATCGATATTAAACATAGATATAAAACAAGATTAAGGGACCCAGGGGTATAGCTCAGAGGTAGAGAGCTCAGTTAGCAGGTACAAAACCATGGGTTTGATCACTAGCACCAAAGAAAGAAAAAAGCAATAATTATCTTCATATAATCAAGTCCATCACTAACTCATGATGGAATATACCTGAAAACTTTGCTACGTGAACTAACAGCTAAGTACTTTGTTATTTACTCATGAGCACTTTGTGTCAGATACGTTCTTACTAAGGAAACAAAAGTGACATGTAAAAGCCAACATTTCTGAAGTTTACATTTTAATGGAGATCTAATTGCTGACAGAAAGTAACTGGGAAAAAATACCCGAAACCAGCACTTTAAGCAGAAGTTGTCTTAGCTGAGTTTCAGTGGATTCAGTCCACGGACAGTAGGCTCCAAGGCACAAGCTGCATGGCAGTGTGGTGGGGACAAACTGCTTACCAAATGGTGGCCAAGCAGGAGACAGAAACACGGAGGAGCCAGGGATGGGTGGCATCACCTTTCTAGAGTGTGCACTGCACTTTGTTGTACTCTCACACATTGCCCTCTCATGGGCTGCTGGCAGGGTCTGTAACCCTGTCACACATTTTGGGTGTGCAGGTGGGGGTGGCTGGCCTTCCAAGCCTTTTGAAATACGGGTGGAAGCATCTATGACCCCAGAACTTTGCCATTTTGTGCCCAAAAAGCCAAAATCATGTGGATGGAACCAGGGTTGGCCACTAGATTGACCCCCCTGGACTGTGGTACTCTTCTCACATGATTTAGTTCTGTACCTTTGAGCCTGTGATGGGTGGGTTCTTGATTTCTGAAATGCCTTCAACATACCTTGTCCCTGTAAAATTACTTGGCTTCTTTTTGATGGTAACCTGTCAGCAACTATCCTCTCCTTTGCCCGTCTTTGCAGGGGCTTCCTTTCTAATGGAAGTGCAAACTTTCTAAACCCATAAGCTCTGTCATTTGCTCCTGATTCTTACTGTAGATTTGGCTAAAAGCAGTTAGCAGTATTCACTCTGAATGCTAGTCTGCCTTTAAATTTCCCCTGCCAGATTAGTTTGCCATTTTTCATCGCAGTCTTTCAGTTTCAGGGCATGGGCAAAATGTATACAGTATTTCCTGCTTGAGTATAACACACAGGGCCTCTAATTCAACTGCCACTGGAGTCCTTGTTTCTAACAGAAACCTCTTTATCCTAGCCTTTACTGCACTCCTTCAGCGTTCTGGTACTCTGAGATCTGACCAGTAACACACATCAAGCACTGCTCACAACATTTTAGGCCTGTCTAGCCTACATTTCCAAATTTTTCCCAACTCCTCTGACAGAACAGTTTCAGAGACTTCTGCATTATATGGTCAGGTATAGTCATTGTAATGAGTTTACTCCTGAGACCAATTTTCTGTATTAGTCACTTTCCCAATGCTGGGACAAAATACCTGACACCCACAATTTAAAAGAAGGGTGAGGTAGTTTGTAGCTCACAATTTCAGTGGGCTCAGTTCAAGGTCAACTTGCTCCAAGGCATAAATGGCACGGCAGAGGAGAGCTGTTCAACGCATGGTGGCCCCGATGCAGAGAGAGGAGAGGAGCTAAGGACAAGAACACACAGTTGCAAGTCATGTCCCCTAAGGACGCTCCCCACCCAATCAGATCCCATGTTGAAACATGAGCCCTTGGGGCCATTTTAAACTGAAACATTTGTGATTGCTAAATTCCAATTAAGAGAGGAAAGGACATGGATCCCAGCAGCACTGGTCTTCTCAGAATGACTTGCCATGAACTCTTTGGAAAACTAGAAACAGTTATTCCAGTATTCATGATCATATGGGCTTTGTCTTAGGAATGCAAGGTAGCTTTAACTTTCAAATATCAATCGATACACAGACACTCGATTAATGAACGAGTTCTGTTCCTGCGACTCGGTCATTAAATAAGTTAGTCTCTAAAAAGGTGTTGTGTACACAGCAACACCTTGGTCCACAAATGCTTGTTTGCAAACAATTCAGTTTGCAAACAAAAGCATTTGGCAAAATTTTGCTTCTGCTTGCAAATTCCACATCGGGCGACAAACACGACCCCTGCGGTCTTCCCCATACCAACACAAATGCGGCTAACCTCCCCCAAATTGTAAAATAAACTAAGCTGATAAATTGAGGTGCCAAAATTCAGGACAAAAATGGTGAAAGTAAACTCCAACTTAATGACTTTTATTTGTATAACTCTTCCATGCAGTACTGTAGTACATAGCCGAACATAAATCTACAGTACTGTACAGTACGATCAGCCAAAACTGTAGTACTGTATAAATGTGCACTGTACAAAACACATCCTGAGGCTCTATGAACAGAATGTACCAAGAACAACAACAAAAAAAGTTGTAAATCCAAGGGGTCCTAGGTCCTAACAGTGCACCTCGGTTTGAAGTCCAGAGTTGTTACACAGGTAGGTCATTACATGAACAATGTCTGTATTAGACATATTATCAAACTATTTCAATGAAAATCATTTGTTTTTTGTATGAACACATGCTCTCCAATAATCATTAAAATAAAGTACAGCAGGCATCACAAATCATCAGGTGGGTTCAGGCAATACTGATCCCTGTCAGAAAAGGTAGGGATGAAAATTATTCAGAAAATCCAGGATACCTTATGACACAGCAATGATATAGAAAGTGCTCAATAATCATGACTGCAAAACAGATGCAACCCAGGTATGATCCTCAGTAAATCAACAGAGCATCTATCCCCGTATATCATCGCATGCCCTTTCCTGGTGTCTTCGCATCTTCAAATGTGCAGTCCTGGCTCATTAATGAAGGAGCTCCTGCAGGTCACTGGAAGACCAATGAGACTAAGGTACTAATAAAATAGCACACAACCACGAACCTCCTTGGCTCTGCAAAAGTAATCGGAAATGCCAAACATCCTTGAGAAGGAAACTGGCTTTAAAGGAGCCACTGCTTTGTCCACCTCTGCAGTAAGTACCTCGGAGGATAGAAATACATATAATGTAGTAAAGGAGCTGACTAGCCTGAAACGTAAGACAAACATTAAACACACAACGTAGTTGCTTGTTTCCTGTGGTTTGGAAGTGTATATACAACCCTTGAAAAATGTGCACACATATGATACATTATCAGTTTCAAAGGTTAACATCACTTCTAAAGAGTCTGTATCTGAGAATTTACCTTCCAATGAATCAGCTTTATCATCACCTGATGAACCGTTGGAAACAAATAGTCCCTAAGAAGCGTGCCAGTACCGAGTGCACCGATGAATTTTTCTAGCCCTTTGGCACAGCTGGTCTGCCTGTATTACGTGAGCAACGAGTCTCATTAGCCTGTGCTGCACACCACTTCCCTTCTGTTAAAAACAGGCAAACTATGTACTTTCTGGAAACGTCAGGTAGCTCATCTTTCCCCCATCAGACATAATGCAAATACACATTTTGATGACAACTCTTTTCATTACTGCAGCTTATTTGCACAGCATGCTTAATGAATGTCCCCCAAATACAACAGGCTATAGGCATTCTTCCTTTAATGAGTTCTGTTCCTGCAACTAGGTCATTAAGTTAAATGGTCACTAAATGAGAAAGTGTATAGAGCAGGTATACAATATGCAGAAAAAAATGCTCAAGGGCAACTCCGTGATAACTTTGCTTTTATCTGCATAACTCTTGCAATGCTCTAATGTGTAATATAAAAACTACAGTACTATACCACATAGCACAAAGAGCAAAAATTGTAGTAGTGTATAAACAACGTGAACTGCACAAAAGACACTAAAGCTTTCAAGATGATGTACAGAAGTGCATCAAAAAAACCAAAAACAAAAATACCAAAGGGCTGTATGAGTGGCAGACAGTAAATTTTAAGTGTGTCTCAGTCTTACATCTGAATAGTCACTAAATGGGTACATCATTAAAGGAAGAATAGCGCTTCTTTGGCAGGAAGAACATACACTAAAAATATTAAAGAACATCTGTAATTACCTTCCCCAAGGCTTTGAAGTCTTTGCTAACTCAAACACCTGAGTGTACTCAATTATTTTGTACTTTCCTCCCACCTTGTTTCCTGAAATGCCTAGTAATTTCTTATTCAAAACTGGATATTGTAGCTACGTACTGTAGTGACTTGATTCCATTTTCTGTGTACTACCGTTTGCGCCACCTGACAGCTGTTTATCTGTATTCAAAGTGCCAATACTGCCCATCCTGTTGTATGCAGCTAATTGTTCTTTGTTGAGTTTTTAAGTTTCCCATACCTGCTTTCTTAGTCTGCAGGTTAACTTGCCCATGCCTCTGTAATTTGCTCATCTGTCAGCAAATTTCAGGTTGATTTAGGCCTGTCAGCATCTTAAGTATCAGTATGCCTTGCATAACAGGGTATTCTGTAACAACTTATGAAAGGACATTTTACCCTTTCTTTGCCTTTTACATTTTACTTGTACATATCTCGTCACATTTTTTTTTTCTCCTAGGAGTTTTTTTTTTTTTTTTTTTGAGACAAGGTCCTCGCTGTGCAGCTCAGGTTGGCCTGAGTTCACTTTGCAGCCCGGGCTGGTGTCGAACCCACAACCCTTCTGCTTCAGCCTCCCAAATGCTGGGATTACACGCATGCCCACCATGCCGGGCATACATTTTCTTTAAATGATTACTTTTTGTATTTACTGTTTGCACATCCTATGATTTGTGGAGATGCAGATTCCCATGGTTTGCTATGCCAAAAGTACCTTTGTTATGAGATGGAATTTTTAAATACTCATATTTCATCTATTATTTTCAAAATATATTTTGTGTACCAGAACAATTTTTTTTTTCAGTACAAGATACTGGATCACCTTTTGGCCTTGCACTGCTTCTGAGAAGTTGGGTCATTATCCCTCTATACAGAAATTTCCTCTTTGGCCGCCTTCTAAAATTTCCTTCTCCTGGCTTCGAGCAATTTGAGTCTTCCATGTGGCTTTTTCTGAGGCTGTCAAGAGCTTCTTGCATGTGTGGTTTCCGCAGTCACTGCCTGTCTGAAGACTTAAGGCCTCTCTATGTGTTCACACATCTGTGCAGCTCCTTTCAGTGCTCTTATGAACACTAGAGTTCTTGTCCTCACATCCACCTCAAGCTGGAGAATACAAGGCTCTACAGAGAAACTGCTTACAGTGAAACTGGCAAGCTCACCCAAGGGAGGCAAGTGGAAAGCAGCATGAACTCCATCTACCTCGTCGCGTTCTCAGATTACACCAGCTTCCACAGCCTCACAGCTAATATACTGAAACGGGGTTTGGTGTGACAGGATACACGTTGACTTCAAGCCCCCTGCTCCTATTTTACCTCTCATCTTCAAATGTGCATATTATCTATTATTTTACTGCATTCATGAAGTAAAAACTTAAGGGACTTACTGTTTCTTCCTTTACAGACTCGCAAAGGCACATCTAGCTAAACCCCACTGGCGCTTCCTAATCACTTATTCACATTAAAAACGCCAAAGTTCGTTATCTCTTTGTCCCGAGGAGGTGATTTCGAACTCTTACTGCCCAGTTTTGTCACCAACTCCCAGGTTAACTCTGTGGCCAGCGATGTAAATGCTTTTGACATTCAGGACTGCTTCATGGTCCAACAAAGTGCATAAGTAAATGTTTCATGTGTAGCTCTCGGCAAAAGTTGCATGCAGCTTTTAAGGAGTCTATCTTACACTGCGGAGCAAATGGACTGGTAACTTGCATGTTTTCTCGGTGAACAAATGGCCTTATTATGCATTAACAGGGCAAAGATAAACTTAAGTCTACCCCACTGGTTTGTATAGTGGTCCTTCTTACAAGTATAAATTCAAAATAAAAGCTTTAGCAACCAAAGCACGTTTCTTGGTAAGCAAGCATGTATTCTGTATTAGCACTGGAGAAAACTGATAAAAATTGTTTAAGGAAAGTATTAGGTATTAGCTGGCTCACCCAATACTGAATGCTTGCTAAAAATGAAAGCCTATGGTCAGGGTAAGGGACCTTAGGGCAAGAGAACCCACCCCTTTCAGGAATTTCACTCCAGTTCTGGGGAAACTCAGAGGCAGCAAGCACGGCATCCTTGTGTCCTCAACAGTCACAAAGCTCGAAGGAGACAGTACTGAGGTGGCGGCAGTGTGTTCTCACTTACACGGCTAACCTCAGATCGCGCTAAGAACCCTAACTTCAGGGGAGGTGTGAATCCTGGAAAAGAAAACATGACCTTTTTATCGTATGCAAATGGTTTGTTTAATTCTGGATGGCACTGAAAGGTGGTACACAAAGAAATGACACAAACCAAATTTTTCAATAGTTCAGAAGATTCTGGAATCTAAGACTCAATGCTCAATGTAACAAACTAAGCACTATTGAAACCTGTACACCACAGGACATTCTAGGAAGCAAATGCAATATCCCCACCGACACCGAAGATTAGGAAGTATTATCAGTTCTAGATAAATGAGATTGTTTCAAGTGAAAGGCAAATGGAAAATCTCAAGGTTCCCCAAAGTACTGATGTTGTCAGTGTAAAATGTGATAGTAGACTGGTTTGACATTTAAAAATGATACAGGAGGCAGATACATACATTCGGTGCTCTGTAAAAAATTAATCATCATGAAAAACTTCTGCATATGTAAAAACCATGTATACACATACCTAACCACAAACATGGGGTGGGAGTAAAGATGGCCAATGCCTGCTGTATACTTATGTACCAGACACTAGTGCAAGCACTTATAGAATCTCATCAAGTTCCTAGGAGATGGTCCTGCCACTTAATGGGCGTGATACCTTATGCAGCAATCTTTCCCGGGGTCAGTCACTACAAACTAAAACTTAAGTACTTTCAGTTCAATGGGAGAAACAGATTAAAACCAACTTTACTTCTGCATCACATTCACTAAACCAAACTTTACCTATTACATTCAGATTGAGGTATTCAGCCTTTGTGGTGACCTGACAACGGGGCACAGACATTTGTCAAGAAGGTACAAAACTGCCTTAGTTCTGGGTTCAATACCAACAACTTCAAGTAATTATTGTTTTCAGTGTTCAATGTGTTCCAGCTTAATTCTGGCAGGATTATCACAAGTTTCTTCTTTTTCTCCAAGGCTCCCCACATAGTCTTCCTGGATCTCTGAAAACATGATGTCTTCAGTGTTTTAAGCTAAGCTCACTTTACTCATCTAAAAACTTGTCCTTTAAGACTGATGATTTTAATTTTTCAGACTTTATCTCTAAAGTCCAAAGACCTTTCCTCCACTAAATTGAGATCTTTAACAATTAATTTACCTAGGTATTATAAGTATTATTTCCATACCTTTTATTTGGCTAACCATTTAGAAACACAAACACACATACACACATCTTAATTTGTACGTTGACGACATGCTACAATATCCTGTACTCTAACCAAGCACCCAGTTAATTCAATGTGGCTGGAAAGAAACAACATAGTGTTTACTGATCACTCTCAATCTGAGTCCAATGTCCCATCACTCCCGATGTAAATATCCAGGCTCCTATTTAAGATTAAAACTACCTTCCTCAGCATCACCACTGTTGTAGGTCATTCCCTTTCCCTATGTGACAGCTATCCAATAATTCTCCCCTCACTTGCTCCATCATTCGTTTTGTTTCTATTGGAAAACAGAGGTATGTCTCACAGGACACAGGACACAATGTGGAAGAACCCTCAATGGCCGAGGCTGGAACAATGAGCAACAAATAAATAGAACGAGCACCTATGGACATAGACTGAAAGAGATTTTTTAAGAATAATTCTGAATAGCTATAGATATCCACTTCCAATAAGAGGTGGAGCTTAATTCCCCCAATTGTACAGGGGTGGAGCGCAATTAGTAAAACTTTAATTAAATAAAAAAATTAACTACAGTGGTAATTCAGGCAAACCCTACCGCACTGAGATGACGGTTACCATCTCCGCAGGTGTGGATGTTCTGTGCCACGCACAGATGTGACAGGTGCCGCTTCTCTGTGTTCATTCCGAACACCCACCACCCCAAGTGTGGTAATGAGCAAAGTACAGTCACATCTGAAGTGGAGTAGGGACATTCTACAGGACACGTGGACATTATTTCTCCAAGCCACCAAAAGCAAAATGAAAAAGTCAGAAAATAGAGACTAGGAAAACAACACACTGCACGCAATATGGTACTGCAGACTGGATCTTGGAAGAGATTAATGGGAAAAATGACAAAATCAAGTAAAATCCAGAGCAGAATTAGTATACTAACGCTGGCTTCTGGGTTTTGGAAAACACAGTAACATAAGATGGTAACAGAGGAACCTGGGTGGAGGTGTTTTGGAAACTCCTCTCTACAGTATTTGCAACTTTTCCAGGGTGTGTACCTTGTAATGACTGACTGAAATTACAGCTTCTTTACCAAGTTATTAGATTAAAAATATCTGAAGAATTGGCTTAACAATCTCATACTTATTTTCCTAAAGATTTTATTTTGTTTTCCATAGAGGTAACACTGCAATCTCTCATCAAACATGAGGTGAGTCCCAAATAGCTTGCCTGCAGGTCCCCTGAACAAGTGCTTAACTCCCTGATAGTTTAACCTAATTTTCTTGGTCATTGTGCAAAGATGGTCTTAGGTTTATAGACCTATTCTTAACTTGGGGATTTGTAACTGGATACCATCCAATATTGGTCAGAAGAAACGCTGCCAAAGGGAAACTTAAGAAAAGTCTGCAGTTAAATAGATAGCTGTTGGATGTCATAATAAAGTGATAATTTAAGAGTAATTCAGGAAGCAAACTAGGATATTCTTTTTTTTTTTTTAATGTGGGTACTGGGAATTGAACTTATGACCTTGTACTTTGCCGGGCAGGCACTTGTACCACTGAGCTATATCCCCAGCCCTTAGGATATTCTATTCATCACAAGAAAGAGGTGTGTACAGTTCCAGTGGAAATTGAATCTATCAAGGTCACAACTGAAAATTCTGAGTACCCAACAAGGTTGTGCAGTGATCTCGGCTTTTGAATGTTTAAGACCAAGCATTCATACATAAAAAGCAAATACAAAGAGGTTATAAACTAAACAGTTCAAAGGAAAACTGAAGCGAGGTTAAAAATGCACATTTGGTCACAGCTTAAAAATCTCTAGTTTATTTCTAACAAACACCACTTGATACTTGACTCACAGACTTTATTTACATTTTTCTACAGCATCATTTCCTTATGAAATGAACTAGTACAGCTTAGTTAAACCAAATGAAATCATAATGATCTGAATTGTCTGTCAACTCCTATTAGCTAAATTCATAATCTTGCAATTGCTTAGTACAGTTTTAAATACAGAAAGCACAAGAATAAACCAATGGTAACATGTAGAATCTAGATGATCATCTGGCCAACTTAGAAGGCGGACTTTCAAAAAGTCTGAGGCACAATTACAAGAGTAAAAGTTCTTGTGCAACCTAGTAAATGTAGCAAGGACAATTAAGACATAAAAAACATGGGAAAGCTCATTGTAAAAATATTATCAAAATATTTCTACATAAGATATTTTGATTTCATCTTTATATCAGCTGAAAACACTTTAAAGTAAAAAACAAATATAATTGTGTTTGATCTGTCTACTAAACACCTTGTTTTTATTTAAACTGTGGTAGATAATGTTAAAAAACAAGAGAAATCAGGACCCCATAACAAAAAGACCCCAAGCACAACTGTTGATTTCCCTTCATATACTTACCTTGCATTGTCACTGAAGATACTGTTAAGAGAAACCTTATTTTCAAACCAGAAAACAAAAGGGAGCTCAACTGACCAGATTTTAACTGAGAAATAAAACTTTGAAAAGCATTTTAAGCCATAAGTTTTCTCATGTAAAAATGAAAAAGGACTCTTGTTTTCATCATGCAGAAACAAGCATTCAATTGCCATTCAGGAGAACATACTAGTATAGTCAGTAACTTCAGTATGTCAATAACTTCAGTTTGAAGTTACACATCTCAAGGTAAACATTCAATTCACACATCTCTGTTGGCCCTTCCCCCAAAAAAGAAATACACTTCAAAACCTTTCTTCAATTTGTTCCTCAAGTACAACTTAGCCTTTTCTATCCCATTGTATTTGGTAACGAGATTTTTTTTTTTTTAAAAGGACACTGCACAAACCTTTTTAAACTTTTACTCAGGACAAACCTTATGAAATACAAGCAACCATATTAGCAGAAAACTGATAAATTATTAAGGGTTTCTTTCCTTGCCCAAATTACGGGTCAGGAAGGCAAATGAATAACACCTTATGCTTTCTGCAATCCACAAGATTTGTCTGCATTAAATGTGGTGACGCAAAACTGGTATAAAACTATGTAAAAGAAAGACGATGATTCTAAGGCACCCTCAGCACAGGGGAAATTTCCAGTTGGTTGCTTTAAAATTTAGTTTAAATTTTTATGGCAGGAATCACTCTGACACAGGCTCAAAACACAAACAGTTTAAGTTCTTTTCTAGGTCAACATAGCACGTTTTTTCCAGAGTACTTGTTGAAGCTGAAATGGTTTTAGGGGAATGAATGTAAATAATGAAAAAAAGAGCTTTTATTTGGGTGCATTATGGCTTAAAATGCAATTTACTATTAATTTCACAAATAAACACATTGTATTATTCTGAAAAACAATAAAGGCATGCACCTCTACTAGCAGATTTAGCACTTCTGACCAAGTAAGACATCAACTTCTTAAAAACTGTTTCATGCACTGTACTGGATGTTTTTTTAGGATGTAAATTTTAATACATTATTTCTTTTTTGAACTTGAACGGGAACCAGAATGGGATGATCCAGAAGATGACCTGTGGTGCCTGTAAGACATAATGGAGACAGCAGGCAACCTAGTAAGCTGGAGATGGACGTCAGCATTCACTCTAAAAGACTACAAACAACTGAACACGCTGATGCTGGCAAAAGGAATAATTGAAAATTAAGATGTACGCTTACAAAAACAAAATTATCTATTTAGACGTCAAATGTGAGCCCAGTAATGGGTATAATTGTGCTCAAAATCCTGTACAATTTAAAAGTTTCTTCTCATTTCAAAATATAGCCACCTCTCAATTATTTAGGTAATGAAGAAAAGCCTTGCAAAAATGCATAAAGTTACACATAATGTACAACAGAGACATGTAAACTCGGTACGGGAAGTGTAACTACACCAGCTTCTCCACTATACTTCATCCAGTGTAATAAGCCTACATGGAAAACAGATACAGCAAGGCTTCTGATTGTGTATGAGAAAATATATTCATAATTAATTAAGTTTTGGAAATCTAGGTCAAACAAAATGACTGTACAATTAGTTATAGTGTTATATTCATGCAGCTAATATGAATAATTCAATATCAACCTGGGTAAAGTAGTGGTGTTCCGTAGGGGTTGGCCCTGGGCTCAGGGTTGTTTAGTGTTTTCACCAATCACCTGGCTTATGGAATAGAGAACATGTTCATTAAGTTTAGATGACAACAAACTAGGGGGTCATATGTGGCTAAGATAAAAATTTGCGGAAGTGATAAGAAAGCAACAGAATGAATTTCACTCAAGTACAGGGTAATTTTCTTACAAAGAAACAAATACACATAAACAAGACGATGTGTAATCATAGTATCAAAATGTGAAGAAGTAAAATTAATCATTCTGTATAAGTAGGGATGAGATAATACTACTGTTGAACCCAGCTATTATCATTCTTTATACTTCCTTTTATAAACTAAGAGGATACGGATAATCTGCAAAATTATGAATGAAACCATTAAAATGATTAATTAGACACTGAGAACCACTAAAAAAAAACCTGAGTCTTATAAGCCTGTTGCAGAAATGGCTGACAGGTAACAATTGCACTCCTCAAATTTTAAAATGTCAATACAAAGTAATTTAGTAAAGTAATTTAGTAAAGACACTTCTTTTAAAAAAAGAAGAAGCTCTGAGGAATAATTTCCTTACAGATAAAGGGCAGGAAACAATTTGCTATGGAAACCCACTTACACATATTTAAAGGGCAGATTGCCAGTGACCTGAAATTTTAACGTTTTATTAAATGCCCTAGAATCCCTACCATTTTGAATACTTAATTAAAAATACCATAATTAATATAAAAATTAACTTGCAAATTACTTCAACATACAGCTTCTGAATTGCAATCTTTAGAAGACAAAAATAACCGAGAGTTGGCTATAGTAATGTGAATGGAAAAAAAATTTAAACAATAAAACAATCAGAGAATATTTTGCTCTACAACTTATTTCTAAACTTGATTCAAGTCAAAGCTAAACAAAGTAATCTTGTTTTTGATCTTTTAAAGATAAATATAATTTAAAGTTGGAACAAAGGAGGAAGATACCTAACTCCTGACTACAAAATCTATTAAGTACACTTTAAGAACATCCATTCTTATTTCTACAGAAACCCAAACCTTTCGGGTGACCGTGATCTTGTTCGTCTTTTTTTTCGATCACCAGGAGAAGAAGATCTAGAACGACTTCTCTTTCTGTTCCTCTCAGGAGAAGATGACGAACTCGAATAAGATCTTTTTCGTGGGGAAGAAGAGCCCCTGTGGGACCTGGAGCTGGATCTTCATTGATTGAGAAACAAATCAAACATTTCATTAAAAAAAGAAATGAAGAAGATTGTTCAGTTTCCAAAATTAAGCAAACAGAATTTGTAACTATGAAATTTTAATAAAAAAGAATACTTACTGCTTATACTCAACAGAAGACTTCTGGATCAACCATGAAAATACTCTACTTAAATACAATTATTTTAATTTCCTCTCTTTTTAAGAGCCTAAGTATTCATTGCTTGTAACTGAAAATCACATTATAGAGGATTTATTTTTTTCTACGCTTATAAAGCTTTTCAATTGCAAGTACATACGTAGTTAAAATCAACAGATTAACTGCAGTTGTGTGTTTTAATATTCAGAAAATACCTCTTTGCATTTGGGTAGAATGTATGTTATATACAACTTCCTGAAGAAAGTACAAGTAATATTTCCTACTGGAATTATGCAACTCATTAATTAAGATGTTACAGAAAAACAAGAGATTTGCTATAGGAACAAGAACAAACATTAACTATAAGAAACTGCAAAATATTCAAAGAAAAAAATGAATAATTTTAAGACTTGATTTATAGTCACACTATTTATTTTTATGAAGTAATATTATTTATGAAATATGACGTGTTGACATTCACATGTTTCAGGCAGAAATAAATGTGCAATAATTCAATGCAAATTTTTTCTTCATTTACATATTTTGGTTGAAGGAATTTAGCTCAAACTTCCCAAAAAATTCACCTTTGGGCTTAAAATAAAACCAGAAAGCCCAAAAGGAGAATTCTTTGGAAAGTTATGAGCAATAAAAATGTTTGGGAAGAATATGAAGGTTGTTCTGTAAGCCTTAATTACAAGTGTTTGCCAAAGGGAATACCAAAACGTAAGGATTTTTACTTAAAAGGCATTAAAATAAAAAAAAATCTAATATGAATACATAAGAAAAAATACTTGTTCTCTATTTTGTATTGACTTAATACAGATGTGCATATCATTCTTTTCTCTGTAACATGGTTAAACTATACTTGCCCTGAAATGCTACTTTTGACTCAAATAAGCTATTAATTAAGTACTCTTATGAAACTGCAATGTGAATTTCCATGTTACGTTGGATTTCAGTGTTTTTCCGTACTTACGTTAATGCCTTTAGTACACAATCAATAAGTTAAATTAAAAATAAAGGCAGGACATTTTGACTAGTATTTGTAGAGAGCAAATACTAGTTTAGACAAATTATTTCTCCTTTATGGTTTAAACACAACTGTAGGTTAACAGCAATGATTAAGACCGTGCCCTACCCAACCTAATCAACCGTACTGTACTTAATGTTTTTTTTTTTTTTTTTTTTTTTTTTTGAGGCAGGATCTCCCTATGCAGTTTAGGCTGGCCTCAGACTCTTGGCAATTCTCCTGCCTCAGCCTCCTGAGCACTAGGATTACAAGTTTGCATCACGATGCCCAGCTTTACTTGATTTAGTTTTAAGAGGGATGTTTTTTCTACAAATACTGCTGTTTATAAAATTGTTTAAAATTACAGAGAAGTGAAAATATGTCCATAACACTCATCATAAACTTTATGTAATATAAGTAACAAAGTTGCTTCTGTTAATATTTCCCTTGCAAAACAAACCCTGTTTTGAGGCAGTTATTTTTTTCTTTTAATAATAAAATTTTCATTTACAGTATGTATTAATTTTGCTTCAAGTAATTTACAAAAAGTGTAATATACTTGAGATCTGATCGTAAGACTTGGTTCACCTTCCTGTTTCACAGCTTATTACCAAAATAACCAACCTTGGACACACCATGTAAAATAGCCACCTTACGTCAATCATGGGAATGTCTTGGCACATTGCTGGCAATGGAAACATTTCATGGTGAGAAAATTAAGCTGAGGCAAGTGCATTAATTTTCTAATGCTGAAATAAAAATTGACAAGTAGAAGCAAAATAAGGGAGAAAAAAGCAGCAACACCTTCTGCAGCCTAGTTTTTCTCTCTGCTTTACAGAGAGATGCTACCTCATTCACCTTGATTTCGACCCACGAGATCTCGAACGTTCTCTGGAACTGGAACGAGATCTTGACTGCGAACTGGAAGAACTTCTTGAACGGGACCTGGAACAACATGGAAGCATTTTTTTTTCCAGGACCACTTAACTGACCTTTGTGATATGAACACTGAAAGAAAAATATGCATTAGCGTTCATTTTCATGTAAAAAGTAACTTTGTAAGATACATTTCTTCAAAGTATTTTAACAAAGCTTTTTATTTTAATAAAAATCATTTAAGAATCAACTATTACTTTTTTACTCTGACTAAATTACATTAAAATCACTAGTCACTCAGGACTAACACATCCAGAAGACAGAATGTATAGTTTATTATTTAATTTCTCTACAGTGTTCCTAAAACTTATTCTATTTCCTTGGTGTTTACCTAGCGTTACATGTTAAATGCAAGCACATGTATATTGATCATTATGCTTTCCTATGTACTGTTAGGGGACTAAAATGTACTAATAATCCTGCCAGTTACACATAAAAATTCACCTAACTCACATCTTTAATTTGTTCCTACAGAGATTGTTATATTTTTTTCTGAAAATTATTTTATAATCACTTATGCTTTCAGGCTTTATATTGCATTCAATTAATGAATACTTAATATTAAAAGTTATGTTCTAATACTTTATTCCTAAATACAATGAAAATTCAATGACCACGGTATCATTCACAAATAGGATTTTTCAAGGGAAGGCTATTTACGGCACTGCTTTTCTCTTAGCTAAAAGTTTTTTATGTGTAAAATCAGAGAACATGTATTTCACATGACCAAACAAAAGAACACTGAAGTGCAGCACTAACTGAGTCTTCTTTTTTTATTCCTGGACATCCCAAAATTTTGAGTAGAAGTCAACAGAACTGGAAAGCTGAGTGAGTTCCTTTATTGGGAATACTGACATCAAACTGAAGTATTAAAACACTGTCTAACAAGCAGTTACCCTGACAACGCCTAGGAAATCTCTGCACTAGCTTCTCACATCTTTAGTAAGCAAATCTCTCATTTACTTAATGGAAGCTACTTAGATACTTAAACATCCTTATATCTAGTGACTTAATTGTCCTAACTTTTTCAGTAAAAGGCATGATGTTAAAATAGGGGAAGGAAGTTTCATATTAAGATTTTGCATTTCTGAAAATACTGAACAATATCTACAGGGTACCAAGATTTTTGCACAGTCTTTTAAACGGTGACATCAGTGAAAATTTTTAAAGTACAAAGTAAAGCTATTTAGTTTAAAAAAAATTATAAATAAAGAAGTTAGATACTGACATTTTGATTGGTGTTACCCTTGACCTGTACCCGTTTACCTGGACCTAGACCTTGAACTTGAGGGGGAGGATGAACGTGATGAAGAGCGTGAAGATCGAGACTTTGATCGACTTCTTCTATTAGATTTCTTTTTATTACTATCTTCTTCTTCACTGGCATCAAGATTATATTTTGAGAGGTCAGCATCATCTTCATCCTCATCCTAATAAAAATTTAATAACATATTTAGACATTTAGGTATCTGTGCTATCTACTAGGAAAGATGAGTAGGTCCACGTGGCAGGAGAAATCTCTGTATGGATGTATCATCAACGTCGCAAACAAAATTCATTCCCAGTTCTGGAATTTATCTATTAATTGTTCATATCAGGTAAACAGATTTGATTAGTGTCTCAGTTCAGATGTAAACCTAGAAGTCATATTCATTTCCTCTTCTGTCACAACCCATTATCATTTATTAAGTTAGTCACAGCACTTTCAATTCTAGCTCCTTCAAAGTCCCTTATTCTACCACCTTTGGTCTGAGTTAGGAATTTTGTTCTTTTTTTCTCTAATATTGTAGCAATCTCTTAGTTCACCTCCCTAACTCTGGAAATTTTCTTTGCTTCTCTAGTATCTCCGCTTGTGGAGACTCATCACCTTGAAGAACAAACCGTACAAACGTAACTCGTTTGAGTCTTAAACACTTGCACTTCAGAGCCTCTTATGATCAGACTCCCCGAACTTAGTTAAGGGCCGGACCACAAAACGACACAGTCTGGCCTCACAGATACCCATCACTAAAGAAAGTGGGGGGCTGCTCTCCTTTGCTCTAACCACAGTGGCCTGTGTATGGTATTTTTTTGAATATTGCTGGCTTACTTCCTACTTATAGAAACTGTACGTGTTGTCTTTCCGAAGGTGCTCTTCCCCAGCTCCTGGGGTATCTGTTGGCCTTACCACGTCTTCCATAACGTGCTATCTACAACCTTCTTCATTTACATGTGCCTCCTACAGAGAAGGATGGTTCTGTCTTGAGCACTATTACATCTTCAAAACAAACTGCTCAAGGGGGTGGAAAGCCCACCCTTTGTGAGCACGTATCTCCACAAAAGGTCCATGGATGTTGGAAGTACTCATCATATAGTGGCTCAAACAAGAAAAGGGGAAGTTGGACATGGAAACCACTTACCTCATCTAATTTATATTTAGAAAGATCTGCATCCTCATCCTCTTCTTCTCCCTCTGATTCTTTATCATCAACTTCCTTTAATATAGATGCAGGACCAACTGCCTTCCCTCTATACTTTTTCTTTTTACGTCCAAACTAGAGAAAACAGTTTCAACGTATTTTTATAAGCTGAAAATGCATTGTAATTAGTATTTTATAAAAAATTATTTTTAATATTATTTAAGGCAGTTATGGTTTCCCGGAAAATAGTAAGTTAGCTGGAAAAGTCTCAAACTGTACTTACAAAAATGATATCTGAAAATATATATACACATATTTTTTACCTCTTCCTTCCTTCCTTGTTTTCTCCTTTCTCTCACCCTACCCTTTCCTTTTGAGTGGTTTCTTTCCCTTTCCCCTTTCACAATATCTAGTGTACCTTTTGGATTCTGTTTACTTTTTCAGTCTCTTACATTAGGGAGACAATATGAGGTTTACACATAATTTCTGTTGGTTTATTGAAAGGAACAGTTAAGGCCTAATTTTTTTATCAATTTTACATGCTTGTATCTGACAATCTGAACAACTACTTTGAAGAGAATAGTATGCAATGTAACAACCATTGTTGATTTCCTATCATGTGGTTTTGAAATTGTTTATTGTTTTTATTTTTTTATTTTAAAAAATAAAAGAAAAACATATTAATAGACAGACATCCATTTACAAAATAGCACAAGAACAATATAAACAAAACAGAGTTACAGACAAAGTTGTAAGACATTAACCATGGTTGTTCTATTACTTATTGATGTCTTCAAAGTGGTTTCTCAGGAAAACAAATAGACACATACAAGATTGATCAAACAAGTAATCATTAACTGTTCCTTTCTGTAGAGCAACAGAGGACAATACTACAACTATGTTGGCTATCCTGTACATACATACTTACATAATTTCCCCTTCTTTCCTTTCTCTTTGCCCACATCCCAGTTGCCCTTTACTTTTGAACATTTTTCTTTCATTTCACAGTGTTTATCATACCTCTTAGTTTTTATTCACTCTTTCAGGTCTTACACTACTGACACAATACGTGCTTACACTTGCAGTTCTGATTTATTTCACTTATTGTCTCTAGTTGTAACCATTTACCTATAAAAGCCTAGAGTTTACCTTTCTTTATAGCTGAGTAATATTCCATTATGTAAAAGTACCACAATTTTTTTATCCAATCCTCAGTGGATGGACATGTGGGTTGCTTTCATCATTTAGGAATTACAAATTGCGCTGGTATGAACATACGTGCACACATATCGCTGTGATATGATGTTTTCAGATCTTCTGGGATGTGTATTGTTTTTACTGTTTTATTTTTATTCTCTTTAAAGTAACAAAAAATTCCTTTGCACTGAAGATATTTTCTAACATATTTTTCGAGCTCGTATTTAATCTGTACTTATATAACTTACCTCATCATATTCTCCATCAGATTCTTCTCTTTCTATATATTCAACATTTTCTCTTTCATTAAAACCACCACCATATCCTAAAAAAGGATGTAAGAATTCATTTAAGTAACATTATGTTCACATTACTTGCAAAAAACAAAATCTAATCAATGGCAGTTGCCTATCCATCTGGTACATTACTACTCTTTTAAAAGCTACTTAGAAGTCACTACTCAGACCAGTCTCAAAGTTATGTATCTTAGTTGGAAAGTCAAATGACTATACTAGATCCCTTCAATTTCAAACTGTCCTATACAAAAAAATTTATGAAATATATAAATAGAAAAATTTCCTTAAGCTTCTGTTATTATCATTTTAAAAGGACTTCCACTGATACTGTATATTAATTCTGGGAAGAGTACGCCCAATAAGAATCATGAATTAAATTTCACTGTTTTCCAACTAGAGAGAGTCTGAAATCTTTTGATAAACTGAAATTTTCCTGAGATAAAATGTTGTGAGTTACTAAACAGAACTTTAAAAATTCTTACTTTGTAACTCCTAAAAAAATTATGGTAAATATAAAGATAGAATAAAAGCCATCCTTTGCCCTTGTTATAACTGCTTTTAATGTAATTGCTTTTTAGTAGATGGTTAAGTTACTCATTGTCTGAAGTATAATGCTTCAGGTTAAAAATATTCTATTAAAAAGTGATTAAGACTAGGAAATCACTATTCTCTGATCAAGAATAAACAGTTTAACAGGTCACATATTCCAGAGCAGTACTAGTGTAAGGCCAGTGATTCCCATGTTTAAGGACTTCAAGAACCAGCAAAATGACTTTCTGTTTGCCAGACCTCAGCATTTAAAAAACAAGCTCATATTTTTATTTTACTTTCTAGAAGAAAAGTCACACCAGTAAAACATCTTTTCTCTCTTTATTGTATTCTTTTGCAGCAAACACTTTCATATTTTCCCATTCTTTCCTACAACCTACGAAAGTTTGCTGAAAACAAAGATATTAAGGTATGTAATATTAACTTGTACAACAAAGCCAACCCATGAACTCTTTCCATGAACATGGAAAACACAGAAGTTTTCTACCACAAGAAAACACGAATGTCATTTGCACTGAATAGGTGAATTAGAGAATGGTATGTATGCTTCCTTCAGTTCTATTACTTTAAAACCACAAAAATGTAAAAAATTTTGCTTCTATTCTTGTCACCTCCCCACTGCACTTCTCTCTACAAAAATCAGACAAATTAGAGAGTAAGTCACTTCGCGACTATAATCAGCAATAGCAAAGACTGGTAGCTAGGAAAGTAGGAAAGGTTCAGGACATCAGAAGGGTGGAAAGAGTAAATCAAGTGAGAGGGTAACCAAACGTAAGTGGTGCCAGCTACATTTTACTTGACTTTCACTTGTGCAACTGTGAAACTTTAAAGGAGTTACAATGTACATCAAAGAGAAATTAAATGAAGTTAGTTTCTTGAGATTGTAATTTTACAAACTATTAAAGAGTTTAAAATTTAACCCTAAAAGCAATCAAAAAGGTTTTAAACAAAAGGAGTTTTCAGTCTGGAAAAACACACAAACACCCACCCAGCTCTTTGGCTGCAACTGGGCAGATTGGTTTTTCATGACAAAACAGTGCAACACACGTCATTTTTACACAATTGAAAACGCTGAATGCTAAGTCAGATTTGAGTTATACAGAATTTGAGTTAAAACATGGTTGGGCTAACTGCTGACAGCGGGAAAAACTAAGTTCTGCCAGGTAAATAGCTGCATTTTACTGCTGACAACACAGAGCTAGTGGTAAACTATTCCTTAGGCCGATGATTACCAAACATCACCCAAATAACTGATAGGTTTCTGGGACCCATCTGCAAAGAATTTCAAAAGTTCTATGCTCTTTAGAATTTGTATTTTTAGTTTCTCAGATGATTCTAGCACACATGGTCAAGTTTGAGAATTACTGCCTGAGCTTCAGAGGAAAACTTTCAAGGTGCCCCTTTGCCCTTGTTGTACCAGGAAATCAAATGAATAGAAAATACTGTATCATTACCAATTAACCAGTGAGGGACCAGTTGGTGAGCTTATCTAAAAATAGTAATATCTCCACATAGGGCTCCCTACCTGTGATTTATAAACTAAAATTATAAAACAAAATTTATAAAAAAATACATATGAGGACAAATTTGTCAATGAAACTGAAGGACAGAATAAGCAGCATCCTCAATTAGTACTACTGCTCTTCTGAGAAGGTACTGTTATGATTCATTCAATTTTTAGTTCTTTTAGAAATCATTTAGTTAAAATGTGGTTGTTTTACCTGTTCTTTCTTCTAATTTAGCATACTTTGGAGTGTTACACATGTTACACTCTGATCTTCTGGCCCAATTCACGTTACTGCAACTACAAAAATAAAACATATTGTATCAGAAGCCTATAATACAATATTAGAAAAACAAATTATTAGATGCTCTGAATTTCAAAAGACAAATTCGGATGAAATCATTGTCAAAAACCATGTGCTCTAAGAGAAACTATAAAGCAAGAAAACGTACTGGTCCACAGAGTGTGGGTCCCAACAAGGAACCGGATGACTTAGGCAGAGAATAAAACCTATACAGCATGAAGAATGCTGTCATGACTTTGAAAAATACACAAATTGTTAACTACTTCAAGTTAAAAATTTCAGTAATTTTTTAGTCTCTAAATTCAACTCAAAGAAGAGTAGGTCATAACCTTCAAAGTTAAATTCCGCTCCCCCCCCCCCCCCCCCCCCCGCTGAATCATAAGCACCAAATTCCACAGCATACCAAATCTACTGACAACATGTTCCAAGAAAATTTTTCACTACTAATTTAACATCTATAGGATTGGGAATTAATGTAAGACCTCTTCTGATTCAGTCCTCTTTCATACATGTTGGATTCATTTGCATGGCAGAACAGAAAGAAGTTGAGAAAATCACAACAGAACTAAGTCCAAAGCTGAAAACAAGTATTAAGAAACCTATCTAATTAAGAATAATATTTTTATGCTAGGCAACTTACAATTCTAAAATTCCTCTTTAAAAAGACAAAATGAATTTTGTGATGTATTTCACATTAATAGAAGTTAAAAACTCTGAATTTTATAAGTTTAAACTTTTAATATACCATACCCTTTCTGATTAGCTCACCCTAAACAATTATTTACTGATACACATAGCCCATTATAGTAACAACTAGTATTAGTTTTAAAACATAAAAAGAATACCTAAAATTTCTCTTCACTACACTTAAAATGGGAAATAAACTAAATAACAACCAAAAGACCTCTAGTAACAGTTGGGAAATTTAATAACCAGTGACTGGCTACATTATACTTTGAACAATCATTTGAAACACATACGTTTTACACTGCCAGTCATTGGCACTAAATAGGCCTCGGCTCTTTTCTGCCAGGGTCTTCCCTATTTCAGTGCCCCCAGCTTTCATCATCTTGGCCTCGGTTGTTTTCTCTGAAAAGAGAAAAATAATGCAATATGAATCCAGGAGAAACACATTCCTTGTACATACAGGATCAATACGACCTTCCTTAAATACTTACCCCGACCACATCGATTACAGCTGGTTCTTCTAGCGAAGTTTACATTTCCACATCTGGAAAATTGAAAAGCTTTTAGAAATATTGCTTAAGTAAGTAAAATGGTTACATTTTTATGCATTCTAATTACACATTCTGAATCTGGAAATTCATCTGAATCATGTTAATGTAAACTATAAAAAACTTCACAATTCAATAGAAAAAAACAATACATGAATTAGAAAGTTAGGAGGAAAAAACTGATCTGGAGTCAAAACCCAGAAACTCTGATTTTCCCTTTCTAGTTATATCACGCTGGTTATTCACTGCCTTTGTGCTTTGGTATCCCTATATTAGTACATATCCTTAATTAGAATGAAGCCCTCTTACCCAGTTAAAATGAGAACTGACTCTTTAACAATTACTGACAAGCGATCAGCAATATTGACAAGAGTAAGACAGATACAAAAATGTGTAAGTTTTATAATAAATACAAAATCCTAGGGGTGGACCAATGGAGAGGAAATTGATAAAGGAGACAGGGCTTCACAGAACTTGATAAAATGTTCTTTTTACAGGCAGAATGTGAAATGGTAAAAAGAAAGACTGTACTAACTGAAAACGTAGATTCAATAATAAATAATTGAGTTTTATGGAATATTTGCCAAACCTGAAACCCAAAAGACAAATACACAACCAATAACCTCAACACAGGAGTTACAGTATAACTTTATGCCTGCAGTTAACAAACAGAACTAAAATTAATTCATTCACATTATCTTACTTGTGTATATCTGTACCAGCAAAAGCATGTCAAACGTTATGACATAGACCGCTTAAGTTAAAAAAAAAAAAAGACCAAGATGTTACAGTAAAAATACATTTGTCAAGTACGAAATGACATTAAACTGAAAAACTCAACAATTTTTAGGTTGTTTTTCTCCCTAAAAAAAGTATTCAAGACCCGAGGAAGTGTTGAAAATATACTCTGAAAAACATCCCCCTGCATTTATACTTATTTTTCAAAGTAAGTTTAAACGCACAGGATTATGTATTTCACTCTTAGGATTCCCACCTCAATGTCCAGGTGCGCTGTCACTAAACAGACAACAGCACATCACTCTGCGGGTGACTAAAAACACAAGCCAGTTCATATTACGAGTCAAGACTTGCGTTTCTTCACGTTTTGTTAATATCGAACCACTCCTAACAGCTACCAATTAATGAGCACACGCTACACTTACGTCATCGCTCAACGCACATGTGTTAGTCCTGGTGTTCATTACACGGCAGTGACTCTCTCCCTATTTTTAAAACGAAATTAAGTAACTTCCTTCGAGGTACGCGGTCCCTAATGCGAGCGAAGGGAAACCCGAGTTCGTTCCGCACCGGTTTCCCCTTTTAACCGTGGACTCTAACTTAGGGACGCGAGCGAACGCGCGCGCCTGAGCAGGTGCGGTGCATCACACACCGCTCCGATCCTTGCAAACAGCGACGCCTCCGTCGGCGCCGCCGTCAAGAAGCGCTGACAGCCCCACTCAGGGCGCCCCGCGTTCAGGGACAGCGTCAGGGCGCAGAGCCGCACGCGCGCGGGCTCCAAAGCCGGCGCCGAGCTCGGCTCGCGGAGGGAAATTAAAGATCGCGAAGCGAGCCAGGTGGGAGTCTCCCGCCCGCAGGCGCAGACGCGGACGGGCGGTGGGGCGCACACGCGTGCCCGC